TTTTTGGGAGATGCTCCCATGGTTGTGTACTTGGCTGTTTGGAACAAGGAAAGCCCTCTGGTTATGAGGTTTTGGTATTATTTCCCCTATGGCGCCCTTTCAACACGTTTGATGTTTCAAAAAAATATATATACATAATATATAATATTACAAATAATAATGTATTCCAACACTTCAAACACCACAGGACTCCCACAAGACTCTCAAACCACACTGGACGCCACGACTGGATGCCAAAGTCGAACGACTCCGCGGCTCCGACTCTCGTGTCCTGCCTCATGTACATCGTCCGTGGGGCGGTATCGCAAGACCACTCCAGGCCCAAAGCTGGTCTCGATACAGGTGCCCAACGCACCTGAGGCCGAAAAAACACAAAGGGCGGCAGGGCACCAAACGTACTGAAGAGATGAAGGGCATATAATGCACCTGAGAGAGGCCAAACAAACTTCGAAGGACTCCTTCGGGCTTAAAGGGGATGATTCGTTGCGTTTAAGCATGTTGTGGTGTCCAAGCCTCCAAGAGAGTGGAATGAGGTGTCCAAGGCATGAGGAAGTGGAAATCAACGTCGCTTTTGCAGGGCAAAACTGGACTCCTTCGGACTCAGCGGACATGGAACATGACAGAAAATTCCTTTCAAGTAGTCTTGAGACATGTCAACACATATATAGCCCCTGAACATTCCTTGACAGCATTAAAACGCACAAGATTCTCTGACAAGTGATTCCACTGTTTGTTTTGGTGGTGGTGTCGAGGTGTCGGTGATCTCGGTCTCACGAGAAAAAAGGCCTCCACCGTGCCGCGCGGTCTGCGGGAGAGAAAGACCGTATCCACAGCTATCCACTATCATATCTATCATGCGTAGTATAGTAGCCGTATCTATTCAGTCATATCCACCCACCCAGAGCTGCATCCAAGACATCATATTTGCTTCGACACAATATTAAATCCCTTTCACTTACAAAACAAACACGAGGCCCTAATAAAAACAAGTCGGGTGCCTTTCAGGTGGACAATTAGGGTTGTTTTAGGATTTTGTTGTAAACAAACACACCAAAATCGACAATGCTCCTAGTTTAGTAGCAGTTTAAAATGTGGTAATTTAAACACACAAATATATGCTGCATTACACTACTGTATCTGTGGGTTTCCCACATGGTGTTTCTCTTTTATTTTTTTAATAGGGTCGTGTTTTTAGTAGGTACTCGGGATTATACTGATACAATTGTCAGGACATAGAACAGTTCTCTACGATTGCATTCCCATCTTAGTCATCCACATTCATCCAACATGGATGATAAGGAGGTAATCAAATGGTTTGCTTCCAGGTATGTTTTGCTGCTATGCTGGTACATCTGCTACTCTCTTCGCTTGGCTTCATTGCATGTTTCTTTTCGGGTCCACCACTTCTTGTATAGTCGGGTTATAGATTTGCTGTGACATGTCACTTTCACAAGTGCTAGCTACCATAGCACAGCTTCAGCCATTCGACATGGGAAAAGCAACTGGAAAATGTCATTCACTATTTGATACTATTTGTATAACATAGATGCACCCTTTTTGTCTACATACAATCGCCTGGCATACCCAGCGCGGATAAGGGGTGTGCAGGTGTGAGTGCCAGCGTACTCGACCTATGTTTCCCTCCTCTTTGTTCCTCTTTACTTGGTGAGCTTCTTACATCATGAGATCCAGTTGTCACAAACTTACAATTGAGTGTCAATGGACAAAACACACCCAGGATCACCCAGGTCATCCTTTCTTGGACTGAACACATCCTTCCTTGCACCAGTGCGTGCACGCATGCGCTTCGCACCGCCCGAGGCGCAGAAGGAGCTCCGTTGCACCTCCTCGTGCCGGACAGAGCACCGACTGCGCTGCGCCGAGGCTTCAGCTCGATCCAACGCCACCTAAGAGGGCGAGAACTGGTGCGAGAACTGGCGCGCACGCGGCTGGCGACGAGCTGGCGCACACGCGGCCACCTCCCAGTGGTATTTCCCATGTATTTCCCATGTACTTCTCAAACGGGGGCAATACCGAGTGGCTTGTTGTTCTCAAGCTTTGGGGCAAGTGAGTGACACACGATCCTTCAGTTTGTGTGTTTTCTTTCAATCAATCACGCAGGCCTTTCGGGGCTTAACATCCGAGCCCCCTTGTTACGAGGACCGGGTAGATCATATACCCCGGTCTTTCGTCCCCTTATAGAGGTCACCGGAAAGATATGAAGCCGTGACCACTGTGTTATGGAAGAACCCAAACATAGACCCAAGTAGAAAGACTCTACTGACCGCCCTGCGCTTTTCGGGAAGTTGGACCACATCTTGGTGCCTTCCTCGTCCCCAAACGAACCATCAACGCATGAGGCCTCCAGGAATTCGTCGGACTCGGCCACGCAAATACCCCAGCCATGGGGTGTTTCCACATGGCGGCCCCGCCAAGACATGGCGTCGACCGTTTGAAAGAAAGACAACACGTCGATGCCACGCGTCGGTGCCAGGGCTCGTTGAGGCCAGGGCTCGGGTTGACTGAAATGGTTTGTTTGTTGATCATCTTGGGAAAACGATGGAAAAAGGATTCGATGTTGGTTAGAGGTGGATTTAAACCTCTAGAGACTCTGGACTCTGCACTCTGAAATCGTTGGTGGCCCGATGGTCATGTCTCCCACGGTTTGGCGGTGCGGTGAGTTGAGGCGAGACTGTGCGCAGCGCCCGGGGGGGTGTTCGGCATCGTCAAAGCTGCAGTTGGCTGGCTGGCTGCCAAATTGATGAAAGGAATCTCTTGACACTGAGTTGCTGACACTTTCGAGGAAATGTTCCACATGATTCTTGTTGCTTCAAAGTGATAAGCTACGGTACTAAGACATTTCCCCGCAATACACATGTTTCTTCCTTTTCTCATTTGTCAGCTGCAGCCAAGATGGAGGTGCCGCCAAATGGTGGGTCGGTGTAGAGTTCCGAAGACACATAACTACTCAGTTCCGGTACCCTTGCGATACCCAAGGCACCAATATAGGCTGGCTTGCCACTTCAACGACCACTTCTCTGGTTTGTTCAATGTCTATATATATACATATATTATATTATACAGTATAATATATATATATACATATTTTACATATTTCTAAACAGACCCTTGCAAAGAAACTGGGATCCCTACACATCTGCTTGATGTGCGTCCATGTCCCTCTTGCCATGTTGGCCCCTGGGAACCTTTCACCATGTCTTCTTTCACCGGAGGAGTCCTTCCAACTTCCCAGCGTTTTGGGTGGAAAGAACTTCCCTGGCTCTTGCTCCTAGTAGTAAGGCCAGGAGTCCCGTTCGTAGCGTCCGATCGCTTCCTGGTAGTAAGGCCAGGAGCCCCGAACATAGCCTCCTAGTCAAAAACCATGTTGATCGGTTTTGTGAAATCTCTTCATCACTTGGCACCCACCACTTGGCACCGCCTTTGAGTTCGGTACGTTTCGCGGTAGATGGGGTAGATCAACCGGTGGCTCTTCCAAAACCGACACGGGCCCACCGAACTGGATCACCCAGAACGACTAATCAAATGGAATCCATGCATGATGGACCTGGTGCCAATGGTCCTGATGGTTCTCATGGTCTCATGTCATTCCGGACTCATGTCCAAATCCATCGGCCTTTGACTCAAGGCAAGTTGGGTGCCATCGACTTGACCGAAGCATAACCAGTGGATCCAGCTCCCACTATGTAGACAGCGGTATGCCATGTGATGCCACAGCCAATCGGTTAGGAAGTTAGGTGGAGCTGAGGATGAGGATGAGCAGCATTCAAGTTCCATAGATCACAATAGTTCACAATAGTTCACTGGCGACCATTGTGGTCGCATTGGTTGTTGGGATGGTGAGCCAAATGACAAGTGATAAGACGCGCACACCTTTGTTCATATCATATCTACAAAGGTGCGCGTGTCCATCAAGGAGGTCGGAGCAAGGTCCAGACTATATAAATAACTTAAAACAATAAAACCTGTCTGATCGTTTCAGCCAAGGCAACATGTGTTATTGCAGGCTGTCTTGTGACCTTTCTGTAGTACAGTACAACATGGGATTCCTGATCTGCAAGAATAGCATTATCTCTAGCAATTCAACTGTTGCTCAAAGGTTCCTCTGACCTGCAACACTTGTCTGTCTTGTATACAAAGCTGTTTTGTATACTTCCTGATCTCGGTCCTCTGTGTAATTACATCCGCAGTTTAACTCCCTTGAGGCAACGTCTACTGATCTTCGTTGTCCCGGGGCACACACCATCCGTGAGAGTGTTCCGTCAGCAAACAGTGTAAACGTATATATTAACTATAAGTTTCATTGATCAATATAAAGTTACATTAGTATAACAATGTCAAAAAACACATACAAATTTATACAAATTTTATGTTGCAAACATAATCAACATGAATCAACTCTATGGTGGTTCCAGGTCCTGGGTCGCAAGGAAAGCTTCCACCCTGCCAGTTTTTAGAAGTGCACTGCACCTCATGGTAGTGGTCCTCGGCATCATCCACCTCAGGTGTGTCGAGGGGTCTGGGTGAAACTTGATTCAAACACCCGGATGCAGCCGGTTTGCACGATCCTGCTGGCCAGATTTGGCGATGAAACTCAGTTCCTGCTATTTGCCAGGGAAAAGAACAGCCTCATTTTAAGATGCTGCCAGATATTACCAAAGTCTATCCGACGCTGGGGGAAATCTCAATGTGTCTACCCGACTAGACTGTTTTTTAACGATTCTACCATCGACGCGGTTTCTAAGCAGTTTCTGGGCAAGTCATATTCAACTATGAGCTGAAAAGGGCTGGTTCGGCCGTGTGGTTCGTTCAACTCAGGAACTCCCCCATGATCACCGCCAATAGAACCAATCTCGCAAGCAATGAAAACCCTAGCCATGTTCTGATGTGTCAATGATATGGTCCAACACCTTCACAAAAGTCAATATTTATCAATATATATATATATATAGTCTATACTTTTTTGACATGTCTGAACCATGCAACCTCAAGAAGAACCACCGCGCAACCACTCCCACGTGTGGTGTCCTTTGCCAGCTGTCCGGATTCTCCTCCCAGAATCGACTCGGGGACGCGTCCAAACGCAGGAGACTCACCGGTGGGACCCATCCAAAATGAACAGAATCGACTACCTGGGAGGTCAAAGATCAACAAATTGCTCCACCAAGCTATTGGGAGGTCCAAGCTCTAGCTCCACCCACGGCGACTTGGTCCCGCTGCTGGGCTATAACCCAACGTCCGCACCGTCTCCTGGAGCAAAAGAGGCCCCGGATGGCAAAGGAATCCTTTGGATCCAGCCCTCCGACCGGTGGATGTTCTCCAAAAAAGGCAGACACATCTTCCCAAGATTTTCCATGATTACACCGGCCGCGCGTTCCAACCGCGCGTGGCTTGGCGCTCGCAGCGGGCACTCGCGGCACGACGCGAGTGCCGGTCCTCAAGCTGGAAGGAGCGAAACCCATTGCGACTCACTGCGTATGCCACGAGGAATCCTGTGGTCCGTGAGGAAAAAACGAGGAGACCCGATGTGCATCAAAGATGTGGTGGATGGGAGGACGGGATGAGATGGTGAGACGGTTGGTTGGTTGAATGGGCGCCCCAAAAAAAGGATGAAAGAGGAACGAGGAACGAGACTCGCTCTGGTGGGAAAGGGATGGAAAGGGTTCGGATTATGGTGGTTTGGGCAAAGCATGGTGTTTTGTTGGAGTGTTTATCCTGGTTGTCCTTGGACATGTGCACAGGGGTCCAGTCCGGAAATCCCACCGAAACAACTCATGTCCCGCCATTCCACAGCCGCAGAAGACCCCCGCTCCTTGGTGAGCATGCAAGTCACAAAGCAGTGAAGCTCGCAAAAAGCCTGGGTCTTCGCCCACAAGGTGGACTGCTCACATTGCCGTACCCAAAGCGGGGGGGGGGTTGAGGGGAGAAGAGACATATATATATATATATGTCAATACAATATAGTACTAACAATAAGAAAGTCATGCATTGCCCCTTTGTTTTCCGCGAAGTGCCATGACTCGCCACACACGAGTCAAACGCCGTACAGACACCGAGTCGCACTGCGAGTCTGCGCGTCGTGGTGGCGGTCTGCGGTCGCCGAAGTTCCCTTCCCCCTGCCTTTGAAGTCTCGCTGGGAGAGGAACATGCAGCGCAAGTAGTCCTATGCAGAAGGAAGATCTGTGACATCTGTGACTCCACGTGACACAACTGGTCCCGACGTGGTCTGAAAGCAATGGTGAAGGTGATCAAAACATTCCATGGCCTGGCTACAAGTACCAGCAATCAAGTGATCTAACATGATACAGTAAAGTACGTTTTTTCTTCACTTCTGCTGATTGATGGATGATATGAACTTTTTGCGTTTGGGTCCGTGTTGATGGACTATCATTTTTGCGCACCGCCAACCCAATACATCTTATGCATGCATATAGACAAAACATGAACAATGTCGAACACATGACAATCCCATACCATAATACCATCCCCCTGTTTCTCGAATTGTCCCCAAATCTGCCTACTTGAGGACTAAAGGACTTCTTGTCCGTGTGATCTCACTATCGACTATCTCCCGCGGAGAACTGGGGTGCCGGCCGCTGCCAAACTCGTGGACATGTTGGACATGTCATCAGCCTGTTCTCTAAGGTGACCTTTCCCTGGCAATTTGTTGTCTGTATTCTTTGCGTTTTTGGAGGGTATCAAAGTACTTCACCTACAGTAAGTAATGGCAAAAGGATGTCTGTGCTGCCAACCCTCAAATCAAAAGGACGTCTATAGACTCTTTAGACTGTATTAACTACACTCATTGAAATCATCATGGGCCATCCACGTTCAATGGCGCCGAGTTCGGATGACCATGGTCATGACTCCAAATACCAAATCACCGGTGGTGAACCGACTCCACGCTAACCCGTTGGATGATTTCGTGGATTATTTCAAGGAATATCTGTGCCCAGCTCCTACATCCTCATATCAATATTTGATGGAATTCCTCCATTTCACCGAACCGTTAGACACGCGGTTCCGCTGAACAAACACGCTTTTTCCACGCTGAAGCGACCGACCGCCTCGACCGACCTTCCCTCGCCTCGCAGGCATCGCCCTGTAAGTCTGTGGGCTTGTCGTAGAGGCACCAACCTGTGGAGCGCAGCTTGGTGGTGAAAGGTGCGATCGGTGCGATCGGTGCCACCCTTGGGATGGTGGTAATATGTGGTAATTATATGTATACTTATCCTGAAATCCGGAGTGCAAGGGAGGCAGAACTCAGAACTCTTGTGAAACCTATAGCCGATAGAAACCTTCCAGTGGCTCCGCAATGCTCCGCATGGTTCTTCCATGTACTTCAGGTCCGGCTTGGTGGGGGTGAAGCTGCTCTGTCCAGGATGCTCCTGGCTACTGCCCATCACATGTCGGCCATTCGGTGGGCGATGACTCACCGGATCCGGACGAACCGGGCCTATCCTCAGCGCGACAAACTCGAAGGATTGATGAACCTGACCGCACGAGGCTGCAAACACGTCTCTATATACTAGTAAGGCACTTGTTACTACTAGCGAGGCACTTGTTACCACTAGTGTTCAATATTTATCATATTTGGCGCATAATCCAATGCTTGGTGAAGTGTAGATTCCTCTTGCCATCGGTGAAACGATGGTCCGTTGTCACAAATCCTTCTATATAAACGGCCTATGTTCAGTTGCGCAGACTAGTAGGTAGATCCCAAATGATGTCAACTCTTGATTCAGAACTCTCCCGCATGAAGAAGTGTTTCAATCCCACTGGGGCGATCTAGTCATATTCTTATACATTGATCCTGAAGTTTTCAATTGATGACCCAACGTCAAGATCATAGTCTCCACTAAAGCACTTTCAAGAAAAGACATCAACCTTAAGTGGACACCCAACTGGACTACGTCCACTGGACTACGTCAATGTGGACAGCAACATCAACATTGACCCAAGCTCAAGTGTCTACGTTTTCACTGTGTCCAGATAGATAGATATATATATATATCTATTGGAACACCAAAGTGGACACCCACGCGTCACGCCGAATGTCTTGTGGAGGAAGCTTTCTAGAACTCTGGGACCACGCTTGATGGCAACTCTTGCTCCAAGCTATTTCAAGCTATTTGTCTGCAATACGATACTGTACTCGGTGTAACTACTCAGACTCACACACCAGGCGTAGACATAAATATATTTATGTATACGTGTCATGTCTATACAAACAACATCAACCAGGAACACGCTCGTCGTGGAATCATGAATCGCAACAACGCCGTGGTGTCGCTACGTTTCGACATGTCTCTCGACGTGTCTTCTGTATCACTCTGAGGTAACTGCACGAGAGTAGAGGTAGCCCATGGCCTGGCAATCAAACAGATTGGGATACACTTGGGTGGTCTCCTCATATTCGCAACAACCGTCAGCCCATAGAAGTAAGACAAAAGTGGAGAACTGGTATTGGAGCCTCTTTATTGATTAGACCACCCCATTTGGATTGTACAACCTCTTGAAGTGGAGGGGCATATTGGTCAAGAATCTACATTGGAGATGGTTGGTCATGGCCCGATGGCCGCTGGGAGATGGAGAAAAGATCGTCTACATCGTCAATGGATGATGATGATGATGATGATGATGATGATGATGATGATGATGATGTTGCTATTACTACTATAGATCAAAATTATTCAGAGCTGATCAATGATGAATGATGATGGATTTTCATCTAAGTGATGGAAGATCACTGGGTCAATTCCCCTTCTATTCTATGGTTGATTTCCTGAACCAAGGTGCCAAATTCCAACAAAACGACCTGGCATTTAGCAAACACATTTTAAATGTTCTTCGAGTATTATCCTACCTAACGAATCTTTCCCACCAAAAGGGTTTCAACAAAGGATTTTTTGTAGGACATCAGGTGAATCATCCCTCTGCTCCAATCATATCTTTTTTTTGGACATAGGACCATCCCTCCTGTCGACCCCATGTCTTCTCCACACGTCCAATGGGTCTACGTTGAACACATCGCCTCCCCTGTGAGCTTGGAGACCGCATAGAAGGAGTCCGGTCCTGCACGCGAGAGCCTCGGTGAAACGAACCAGGACCACACCATTCTCGGGACCCCGATCCTGAGTCACCGGCGCGGGGTTTCCGTGCAACTCGAAAAGGGGGTACCTTTCTCAGTGCAGTATTGAATTCGGGTTAGACTACAACAATTGCACTGGCATTAGCCGAACAAGACATATCGATATGAAGTGTGCTAAGAACCTCCCTCCACTGAAAAGCAATATCAAACATTGACATAACATGACATAACATATTCAAGTCAATGATCTTCAATTGAGTCTGACAACATACAAACCATGTTTTCGACTACATGTAGAGCTTGAAGATCGCATTGCTGCAATCTGGGTCTCGAGTCTCGAGCCACCAGTTTCTGGACCCTTTTTGCACTGGGCGCTTCCAACCCTCAAGGACCCCTTGTCCTTCTTCAGCTTCCCGGCGAATCCCCCAGAGCGATCGACGCTGGACCTGGCGATCAGGGAGAAGGCGCAGGCGATAAGGGAATGAATGGTTGGTTTATGTTGGTTTCTAGTTTGATGTGATAAAGGCGAGGAAGTACAAACATCCTCCCCAGAGGGGAATCACCTTTTATAAGGAACAATAAAAAATCACCCTAGACTAAACCAGGCGTCCACTTGGAGCTAATTAACCGAACCCAGCAAAACATATTCCCAAGAAGGAGATTCACCCAGTTCAAATTTTGGACATGCAACATTGTTTTTGCAATCTTTCTCGCGTCCTCTTTAGTCCTCTCGTATTTCTAAAATTGCGTACCTGGTATACCCTGGATAGATACCAATTCCAAGGTGGTTATGAGGTTTAGCAGGTACGCATCAATTGCCGTTGTTGAGCTATATATAGGTGCCGCCACCGTTCCTACAGCCGCAACCGGAAACCATTTCCATTCTGACCCAAATCACTTCCGAAGTTTTTATGACTAACGTTTTAATCACAAATTTATGTGTGTTCCTTACCTCTACCTTTCCATAAACATCTTCTCTGGTTGGTGTGCCTTCTGAAATGGGCATTTGAACCATTCCAGCTCTGTGTTCGCCGGCATGTCACCACCGTCATCCACCCGTCATGCATCCTTTGGCCCAGTCCGTCCAACGACCTCCTACAGCTTGGAGCCGCTCCCAGCTCATTGTGCCGCAGTGACCACCTGACGGTTTCCAGGCCGAGAAAATGAACCCAGGCATCCAGTGACACTTGGAGCAGCTTCATATGGCTGCACTTTCTTGAATTAGTTCTTTGGGTCTGCTTTCTGTAGCGATTGAAATCTGATTTTTCGTCTGTGGGTTGGGGTTCCTGTCAGTCTCTGATTTGGTCCAAAGACCCTTCAGTCTGACCTTACTAAAGGACTTAATTTATCAAACACACTCTTGTCGTGTCTTGTCACTACCCCGGCGAGAGACCCCAAACAGTGTGTCTAAAGGCCTAAGGTCTAGAGGTGTAGAAGGTCTAAAGATCTAGAAAACAAACCACACGTCCAAAAGTCACGACTCACTGCGCAGAGCACGCCGAAGACCACGTCAAAAGTACTGCAACTGCCACGAAATCTGTAGCACTGTAAAGAGCAACGAATTAAGCCGCAAACGGATGCGAGCGCCTCAATCAGACACCCGTCCTTAACAGTTACCGTAAGAACCCCTGGTGTTACCACACTGTTGGGGGGGAAACCCGGGAAAGGATCAAATTTAGATCCAGCCATATCCCGCATCCAAACTGACTTTACTCTGACCCAAATCACCTAGTACACCAGTGCGCCACAGCGGTGTTCAGTCTGCATGTCCCACGTGTTCATCGCCCCTCTCTAGGACTTGCCTAAGGCCATGGTCGCTCCATGCTGGGTGTGGTTCCTAAGGCCATGCACGTCGGCTCCATGCTGATTGGGGCGGAAGTTGCAATGTATAACAAAGACATGCATCTGAAAAAAGTTTGAAACTGGGTCCTTTGGAATGTCAAGGTAGGCATGAATAGTTAATGGTAGTGTTACGGCTAGTTCCTGTGTGGTGAAAGAGTAATCCCACTCTTGAGAACCTTTGCGATACTAAGGAATCCAAAGGGTTTCTGCCACTCCCGGGATGGGTTTGCATATGTTTCCATCAACTTAGAGGACAACAAAAGGGCTCCACATCGCAACTCCTTACGGTAAGGATCCAGCCACTTAGACCATGATGGGTGGGATCTCATTCGAGGTAGTCGTTTGGAAAAGGGCAGGCGGGATCCCTCGAGAGGGTCCCTAACTCCGGTGCTTTTCGGGCCCCTTTCGGCTGAGGTTTTGCATCTTTGGAGCTCTTCAGTATCGGTTCCAACCCTTCAAAGAGCTTCTTTTTCCATGAGCGGTCATGGGTAAGTTTGAAACCGTGAAATGTGGGTTGCCACCGTTTGTTCTTTCCAACGTTTGGACTGTTTCGTTGTGCCATTGATTCATGCTGCCTGGCAATGGCTCCCATGGACTCTTTTGTGGAGTGGACACTCGTGCCCCACGTCACGGTCAAACGATCTTTTGCGACTTCGCATGGGTTTCGCGACTGCGTGGGTGTGTCTGCGGGTGTGTAGGGGGGGTGGCTCAAGACCAACCCCCCCCCAAAAGCACCGATAACCTTCAAATCCCTGCAACTTGTTCCGTTCAAACTTAGAATTGCTTAATGAAGGAACCGGGGAAAAAAGGAAAGAACTAATCCCGAGAAGGGGACTCAGCCATGAGGAGCATCAAAATCACCCCTAAGCAAAAGGAATCACATACAGTGGCTTCAGAGTAGATGGCACAAACCCGCAAGGTTTCAGAGTAGAATCACATACCCGATGATGTAAACCACCCAACTTGGGGTAATTTTTGCGAACCTCTGATACCACTGTCAATGCGTGACCCGGCCACCCCCGGGACCGACGCGAAGATCAAGCTTCGTTGACGCGAAGATGACGCGCTTCACTTTGGCACGCTCTGCCTGTCCCAAGTTGCTGGGCCACCGGTCATCCCAAAGCCCCTAGTTGAATATACAATGTAAATAGATGAATGGCGTTTGTATATATACACAATCCATACAATATACAAACAGTGAACATATATCCTATACAATATAAATAAGGGTATTGAAATATCATGATGTTTATATATGATCTATGAACATTCATATATAAATACACAACATTGGAACCTCATGGCATTCATCACCAACACTGGAACATGCAACATAAATATGTCAAGCTTGGCAGTCAAGAATATCTCCACAACCAATGAGGTCAAATCAGCATTGATCCTGTCAGTTGCTAGGACTCATGGAAACTACACTGTAGCACACTTCAGTGGGCATCGGTTAGCATGGTGTTTTCAATCACAAAGGCTCGCTCATGCAACATGCAAATCAAGCTTGGCAGTCAAGAATCTGTCAACAACCAATGAGGTCAAAACATCATTTAGCCTGTCAGTTGCTAGGACTCATGGAATCTACACTGTAGCACACTTCAGTGGACAGGGGTTAGCATGGTGTTTTTCATCACAAAGCCTCGCTCATGCAACAGCAAATCAAGCTTGGCAGTCAAGAATATCTCCACAACCAATGAGGTCAAATCAGCATTGATCCTGTCAGTTGCTAGGACTCATGGAAACTACACTGTAGCACACTTCAGTGGACATGGGTTAGCATGGTGTTTTCAATCACAAAGGCTCGCTCATGCAACATGCAAATCAAGCTTGGCAGTCAATAATATCTCCACAACCAATGAGGTCAAACATCATTAAGCCTGTCAGTTGCTAGGACTCATGGAATCTACACTGTAGCACACTT